TAGATGCACTAAATTTATTTAGACACGTCTAGTAATATTAACTTTGAGGGTGTATTTTATTTTACGAATATATTCGGTGTGCACGTACTTTTTGTTACTTGGTGGAGCATTATAACTATTCTTACTACTATATATTACTACTATTATTACTGTTGTTATTATTATTTTTATATACTGAAGCGCAAAATAGTTTGTTTAGGAATAGTTATGCAAATGTAAATGATAAAAGTGCACATTTACTTTTAGGTATATATGCAAGGGCATTTTGATATAGTTAATGATATAAGTGCATAATTTTTCCATAAAAGAGCACTACTAAAATAACAAAAAAATTCCACTTAGTATAAGTTATTTTTCAATCATCAAGTTAAGAAAGTCACATGTATCATTGAAAATTTGTTATATGTTAAACTGCACAATCAGCGGTTAAAAATAAATGTAAAGCACAATAGTATTTCTAAAAGTGCACATGGAGTACTTTTAGATATGCTATTTTACCGTATCATACTTATATTAATGATAAAAGTGCATAATTGTGCTGATATGATATGAGTGCACTACTAACATGCTTAAGTTGCACATAAATTCATTTTCATATAAAAAATTGAAAATATATTATGACTCATATCTGAACGAGTTTCTTAGTTTATAAATAAATGTGCAAATACAAATCATAAAAGTGACCAAAAATATTTTTAAAAGTGCATATTATTTCTTTTAGATAAGTAAGTGCACAATTGATAGTTAAAGATAAAAGTGCATAACTTTGCAATATGAGTGCACAACTAAAATAATATATGTGCATATTTTGAAAAAAAATATTACCACTTACAATAAGAATTTCTACAAATGACTCATTTAAAAATGGGATTTCTTTCATGAACTAAACTAGATCACATAATATATATTGTTAAAACATTTATAACATAAAATGCACATGCAGTAGTTTGGTTTTGAATAAATGTGTATACATAGATCATAAAAGTGACCAAAAATATTTTTAAAAGTGCATCGTTATTTACTTTTAGACATGCAAGTGCGGAGTTATATAATTAAAAATAAAAGTGCATAACTAATGGATAAAGTAAGATAAATCTATCAAAACAAAAAACAAAAAAAAAAGTGCATAGCTTTGATATATGAGTGCACAACTAAAATAATATATCTGCACATTTTGGATGATACATAAAGCATGGTAATTATAATTCAATTGAATGTACTTCGTATTATGGAAAACTGAAAAAGTAACATAAGTTGGATAAAAGAAAAAGTGAACTAATGTACGTGCAATTGTTTCACGTATGTAATTTGCTTAATTTAGTAATTACTCAACCGACTTTAAATTGGAGAGAGAGAACCGGCTATTGCTAGCCATAATTATTATATCACTATTGTGGATTATATTTTTTTCAGTTACTTAACGTGAACTTTTCCGTTAGTTGTCCGGCCAAAGTTATGAGTATTCTCAATTATGCCACCGTTTGAGAATAAATTGATACCGTAGATGTTAATTTTAGATGAATGAGATGTGTTCTTATTTCTCTCTTGAGTCATCATTCTCACTTGAACCTTACCCTATATATATATATATATATATATATATATGTATATATATATATATATATATATGTCTATATATATATATATGTGTATATATATATATACATATACAGGGGACGGTTCTGGTGAGAAAGGTGCACTAGGAGAGAAATGAGAAAGAAATTAAACCATTGATCTTGATGATCGAGTGGCTGTATTAATCAATGAATATATTAAAAACTAGACAAATTGCCGTTCAATTTGGAGCGGTTACAAGGAAAGTGTGGAGCGACATAAATACATAAGGGCATTTAGGTAAAAGTAATGAGAGCTAATCGGCACATGTAATTCAATTTAGGGATGAGAATCCTTATAATCAAGCAGTTACCATTTAAAAAAGAAATTATCTACAAGTAGTTGACACGTGTGATTTGTGTTGATCGTGGTTATATGTATGGTGGCATAATTTTTGATAAGAAAGAAGCACAATTGAGATAAATGAGCACAATAAATAGGAGTGGAATAGTGGAATGAGTTTGTGAAAATAAAATACAAATAAATAATATCTAAATTGTGGTTAAATTTATTACTTTTCTTCCAGATGCAATATTTGATTGTTTGTCCATTTGTACACCGACTTTGAATAACTTCACTTTTATTCAAAACTCCATGCACAACTAATTCATGTAAGCAAAAGTGCATTATAATATCACGTTTGTATACTTTTACATTAGCAATTTCTAACAAAATGAAATGCACTTTTATCATGTGCACATAAATATATTCAAAAGTGCACTATTTTATTACAATTTCCAGAATGATGCATTGACACGTGTACAACTAATAAATGGCACTTTCTAAGTAAATGAATGCACATTTATCATATGCATTAATATATATTCAAAAGTGCACTATTTTATTACGATTTTTAGAATGATGCATTGACACTAATTAAAATTCAATGCACTTTTCCTTCCAAAAATACGAGACATAAAACGAATGTGCATTACGTGTAAGTGTAGGTATGCACAATGCATTGTATATTACTAGACCGGAGAGATGCATATTTGAACATAAAAGGTAATGATAAATGATTAAATCAATTAAATATTGCTGGCAAAAAAAAAAGATAATCACAATCACGTTAAACTGAAAATTTTAAGAGAAGGAAAATAATGATTCTAAATTACTCGTACACGTGTATAACAAATAATGAAGAGGCAGATATATTCAAAGATTTAAAATTGGAACGAAAATTTAGGAAGGTGGTTATGGAAAGTAACATATCTTCATGATTAACAAGACAAAATATCTACTTTACCCTTTACGTTAGGGAATGAGTTTTCTCTTTTAAGAGGTTTAATCCAATGGTTGTAGTTAATTCTCATTTCTCTCCTAAGATGGTTTTCTCACTTGAACCTAAATCTACATATATATATATATATATATATATATATATATATATATATATATATATAGGTTTTGGTTCAAATAAGAACACGATCTTACGAGAGAAATGAGAACGAATCTGGACCATTGGATTGTCTTCAAGTGAAATTCAGTGTGCATTAGATGAAACTGTAATGTGCATTAGGTGAGATTGAAATGTGCATCAGAAATGGTACAATAGAGTGGCATTATGTGCAGTTGAATTGTGCATTACGTAAAATTGAAATGTGCACTACGTGAAACTGAAATGTGCAGAATAAAAAGTACGATGTGATGTTATTTTTGTACTTTTTTTTCGCACATATCAGTTTCATCTAATGCACACTTGAGTTTAAACTTTTATTTTGCACATTTCAATATCATTTAATGCACATTTCAGTTTCACCAAATGCACAATTTGGTTCCACATAATACAATCCAACGGTCCAGATTCGTTCTCATTTTTCTCCTAAGATCTGTTCTTACCGGAACCGCTCCCTATATATATATGTATATACTCATAACCAATTTAGAATCTTTTTAGATCAGGTCTTTCGACTTATCAGGCTTATTAGACAACTTCTGGCTAAAATGACATTGTCTATAAGAGTTTTTTGTCTATAAAGACATTGTCTAAAAAGACATTGTCTTTTTAGGAGTTATTTGTTTATACAATATTAAATAAAAGTTTTTTTTCTAAAATTAAATAAGATAAAATTTATTTACACAAATATGACTAATAGTTACTACAATGTAGTGTCATGCTAACTTAAATTTTAAAATAGAACATAAATTTCTATAATTTCATTACTACCCTAGTCACAATTTTGTAAACAATCTTTATTTTAGTCAAATATGTGTAATTATTGTTTTGAAATAATCCGTACCGAGATTGGAAAATAAGAATATTGTTTAATAAGCCTTCAATTTTTTTAAAAGTTTATATATCCAATATTAGTGTCAAATGAAAGAGAATAAAAAATCATGAATTTTGGTATATTTTTTATAAAAAGTGGAGCAAAAACGAAAAAGATATGAAATGTTAAAGACAAAAGTGATTTTTATATCCAATGGGGCCCACATTTATTTATATGATTTCCTTTGCCTATAAGCTTCATCCTCCCTTGTTCGTAGATGGCATGAAAGAGTCAATGAACTATTTGGGGACTTCAAAATCGCCAAACCATTTAGCGACTTTGTCCTTCCATAGTTAGACCCAGCAGTATTTTGGTAAATACTTTTAACCCGGCCTTAATTTCGCAAATAATTTTTTATTTTGCATTAATTCGGAAAAAAACTCAAAATAAAGAATACGAAGAATATTTAATTACTCCGTCTTTAGAAGAAATGTGTACACATGAAAATTTCTATTACTTAATTACTCCGTCACAAAAGCTTGTTGTACTTTACTTTGTTGACTAAAAAAAAGTTAACATATGTGAATATTTGGAGTACACAAGGGGGAGTGTATCTGTTTCAATGCTGCATCATGGACGCGCTAGTACGTGTATACTCGGTCAAACTAGATAATTATGCACTAATATGATTTGGTACAAACAATTAATGTTTATTCAAATACTGATTTTGATGTCGAAATAAAGAACACACTAATCGGGTGATCATGTATATGGTTTGGAAAAGGGTCAAAAATGACACTAACGTTTTTAATGAATCTCGTATAAGACATTCAGGTTTTTGGAGGACCAAATAAACACAAAATCTAACTTTTACCGTGATTTTAAACCACCCACTAACTTTTCCGTTCTAACATCTGTTTCCCGTTATGAAGCCCCCTTTCCCTGTGATTAAACACCACCACCCCCAATATATAAAGGGAAAAATACAGCAATAATACTAAAACATGTGAATTTTCCCCATGGGCTGAAGCAGAGCACGTGTACATGCCATTGAATACAGGTGTGCAAGTGAATTCATTCAGTGAGTTATTTATGACAGTATGAGAAGGGCAGTAAATTATGACAGTATGTATAGGGCAGTATGTTCTTGAGGTAGGGAAATAAGTGTTAATATGACATTTAATACAGGTAACCACTGGATTCTGTTAGTGCTGGATATAGGTAAGAAGTGCATACGTGTGTATGATTCTATCGTTCGTCGGGAACAAACAAACATACACCTTCACCATTACCTCCCGAGCATGCAAATGTATTTACCTAGACTGATGGATAAGCTAGGAGTGTACAATGAGAGAACTGAGGGGCCTATCAGGGATGACTTCTTGCAGATACATATGGTGAAAGAATGCCCACAACAAAATGATAGGTATGTGATTTGTTCAATGATGGTTTGGTATAATTGCTTACTAAGTCATTGCTTGACATTTTTTTATTCCCAAACAGTGACAGTTGTGGGATGTTTGTGTTGAAGATGGCTGAGTATCTAATGATGGGCAAAGATGTGGAGTACGTGAGGCCTGAAGATATTAATGCTTACCGCAGCAAGATGACGACAGAGCTACTCACTTACTTTGGTGTAATAGGAGCTTGAAAAATTAATGCCTTTCTTGTTTTTTTTTGTGTTTTGAGATATGGGTATTAGGACAAGTGGAGATGAAACATTGCAGTATGGCTTGGATTCTGAATGTTGGTTTTTTGATATAATTTATGCTACAAGTTGAACATTTAATTTTATTGTTTTGGTATGTGATGGAGTAGACAAATGTTATTGCACTTCTTATACATAAACTGCCTATATTCCTTGAATTAATGTGTGAACAAGTGATAACGGATGTATAAAGATAGTGGACAAGGATTTAAAATATTTGAGTTGTGAATTAAGTTAAAAAAAAGGGGCCATCTGCACTAGTGAGTTTTGAAGTATGAAGGTTAAGGGCAGGGAAAATAAAAATGCTCATGGGCATTAATATGCCAATTTACATAGAATTAATGCCCGACGACCCTATACAAGCAAAACTTAAAATAGTTTCGTGTATAACATAAAATAAAGCAATGTAAATAAAATCCCATTGACGATTAGTTAGTTTTAATGAAAAACCTTATAGGACCTGGCAAAAACAATGTAATTAATGGTATGCAGACTATGTAGGGAATTAAAGTATTAACATGGACATTAAATAACTAGTAAAGCACAATCATTCACACATGGTGGGAAGCAAGTCATATGGAATTGATATCCAGAAATAAATAACATTAACAAGAATGTTCAGAAAGAAAGCAAAACCAAACTGGTGAATGTCACTAAATTCGTAACAATATAAAAAAAATGGCTATTAAAAGCAGTTTTTAACGCATGTGTAGCGGAATCGGATTTCTGCAGGTCTTTCGGTTGTGTCCAACCACGTGACAACGAGTGCATGCTTGTTTCCGAACATGTTCTCCGGTAGAAGGAATCCTTCTCTTCTTCGGCCTTCCAGGAGGTCGTGTTTCGCATGATGGGGGCTTGCAAGTGATTTGACTAACATGAGGGGGTACCATCCAACCATCCGGACTCCCAATAGGATGAATAATGCCACAGTATGTTTGTGCCCAATGATGTGCTGTATAGAATTCTGATATATAATCGTAGCAAGAAAGTCCTGGTCGAGAGCGAATAGCAGCAACGGAATGTACACACAAAAAGCCATCAAGCTCAAATTCCCGACAAGTGCACGTACGTTCTTTCAAGTTGACAACATACGAGCGGGATTTCTTATCAAACACCTCAAACTCAAAAGCACATGATGGTTTCACCTGCACAATTCATTATAAAATAATAAAAAAAAATGAAATATTTAGAAATGTAGAATTAATTGAAATAGCAGTGAAATACAAACAAATAGAGCAGTGGAATAAAGATAATGAGTTGAGGGGAATACTGTCATCACGGCGGCCATAGCTTGTAACACTACTAGCTCAGACTCAAAGTGTGTAGACAAACGACAAGTGTTAGACGTAGAAGTTTCTCGCCTTTCACAGAACCACTTTTGCATCCTAGCAATAATAAACTCTATCAACTTACAGATTGGGTATTCTCGGGCCGTGGCATTAACTGCATTTAATGACTCCGCATTGTTTGACATCATAACCGAGTATCGATTCCGACTGGCATATGCACGAGACCATTTGTCATAACCGATCCGCTCTAAATACGTACGAATACGTTCATCCTCACTGTCAAGCATGCGAAGGTACTCTTCACACTCATACACAGATCCTACACGAGCAGCTTGCAGAAACTTCCATGACACGGTTGTTTGGGAGCCACGAAATCTTGTTTTCAAATTAGCCAGAATGTGGTAAACACAATACCCATGCTCTGCATGAGGAAATACAGAACGCACAGCACTAATAATGCCCTCGTGCCGATCAGACACAATATATAGATCATCCCTATGCGTCAACGAACACTTCAACATGCTGAAGAACCATGACCAGTTTTCAGTATTTTCCCCACTACAAATACCAAATGCCAAAGGAAATATTTGTTTGTTTGCATCTTGTGTACATGCAGTGAGTAATGTACCCTTGTAATATGACTTCAAAAAAGACCCGTCCACAATTATAACAGGAATGCAATGAATCCAACCATCTTTCCATGCAGAAAGGCACATGAAAAAATTTTTAAATTCACCATTTTCCTTGCATGAATAAGAAACAATAGAACCTGGGTTACTCCTATCAAGCACATAACACATGGAAGGTAACCGAGCATATGATTGTTTTTCAGATCCCATAGCCAATTCCATTGCCAATTCTTTGGCAATCCATGCTTTTTTGTATGACATGTAAATGCCATATTTGGTTTGCATATCAAGCATGATTGATTTCGGAGGGTATGGCTTATTGGAGGGATCACCGTACTCGTGTTTGATTAGTTCGGCAATAATCCTAGACGTAGCCTGGCGGTTATTTCGTTGACGCAAATCAATGGGGCATGTGTGCTCAGAGTCAAATCTGGAAAAAATTAATAACATTCGGCATTATCTAAAGGGCATTAGAATGGATAATAATTTAATGCACATCGATCGGGAAAAAAATATAAACACAAAATTAATGCATGTGTAATAACAAATAAAAAAGAATAAATAATGTAATTATGATCACATAAAAAGTGCAAACCATAAACAAATCCAACTAAAATATATTTCAGCAATTTATACAAATAATTAAATACGTACTAAGGCATTAATTTTATATGTTCTTTTCAGTGAGCAAGTAAATATGTTTACTTTTTAGTACATATAGGGCAGTAATGAGATACATTACCATGAAGCAAAAATGAATCCAAGAGGAACGAAAATATTACATGTGCACAAAGGGAATAATATTCATGCCCAAGTTGCAATAGTGATTTTATTTCCCTTTTACCATTTTTTTCCAACAAACCAAAAAACTGACAACATAAAAAACGTAATAGGACATTAAATTATATGTCCTAGACACTGTGGAATTAAATTCTGTAAATTTATTTTACGTAGGCAGTAATATACAAAGCAATGAAACCATAAAAGAGCATCATAGGGAATTAAATTTATACGTCATTACCACTGCTCATTTATTTTAAACCTAATGTTATGAAGGGCAGTAATACACATGCACACAACGTATAAACACCAAAACAGTGACAGGGCAGTAATAGACATGCAAGGCAATAAACACAGAGAAATAAATGCATACCTTTTAACTTGGAACAACGACACTTTGTCAACGCACACAGCACGCACAGCCCACTTGCAATTGGGGTAATCAACACACACAACATGCAAAACCATCGGGCAAGAAGTCTTCGTTCTATATTGAAAAAAGTTGGTAATGGCATACATCTTTAAGTGAAAATCAAGTTCCTTCTTGCTTCCATAGATGCTATTCAATGCAATGCACGTGGGTTCGGAATGCTTGACTACAGGCATATTATGAATCTCTTCATCTACGAGAGAATTTAACCTCGTAATTTCAGCACTCGAAATGTGTTCAAGTTCAAAGTCTGCATCCACAGTGTGACTGAAATTATTGCCTTCATCACTTAAGCCACCACGCTGTTCGAGATAACTCGGAGGATTAATTCCACTTTCATTGTGAATATCATCACATATTGTGATGCTCTGATCCTCTCCAGTCGTAGCATCAACCTCCTCACCGGATACAAATTCAACACACAAAGGCATTTGCATTGGGTCCTTTTGCAAACTCTTCAATTGTAGATAAAAGAGTAGAGTATCGTCATCACATACATTCACAGGAGGTGGGCACGCAGCAAAAACGTATGACATCTTAATGTTCTTGCCGGCATAGGGCTCTCCCATCGCAGCACAAACTTCAGAACGTAGGGCATCATACGTACAATTGGACGGTATAGTTATGCCGGCAACATGAATACTAGAAAACAAAGTATTTGACACCCATTGACCGTCGTATTTGATCATAATCCACATTTCCGAGTAACCTACGGGGATGGAATCCATGGATAATGCCGGGAAATGGTAGACGTGAATGGATGAAGATGAAAAGAACGTATAGTACGGTTATTGGAAGAAAGTCGGATGTTAGGGAAAGATAATTAATTAGAATAATTATTTTAATCAATTACTTCCTTATTTTTAGGATATTCCCATTATTAAACCACCGGTTATACGCATGGCAGTTACGAATGATGATACGTGATATGAATCCCCACCATTTTAGGAAGGAAAAAAAAAATTAATTAATTGCATAGGAGGATAGTGTTGGTATTAACTTAAAAGGCAAAACACACGTCCATGGGATCACCATCGACCGTGGTCATAGATTAAGAATAAAACTAAACTAGTCCTAGATTGGGAAGTACTTCCAGTTTTAGTTATATACGTGTTAATTTTCTCATATATAAACCCTAATTGGATACTAGGATCTTAAAATCCCCTTCCATTCCTCTCGCCATGAGACTCCTCTCGACCTCTCCCCTAACCACACACCATTACCGTCGACGACAAACTTCTGGACCTCACCCGCAGTGTTCTGCTTGACCTCATCTAGCTCCGTTGGGCCACGACGGCTGAAACCAAGGCTGCAGAGAAGACCATGTTTGATCTAAATTAAAGCTGGAGAAGTTCGACACAGCGGCTAAGAACAAGGTCATTAAGAAGATAAGAGATTTTACAAGTTTGGGTTTAAAGGAAGCAAAGGAGCTAGTCGAGAAAGCTCCGGTGGTGGTGAAGAATGGGCTCGATAAAGAAAGAGGTACTGCCATTTTTTACAAGCTACTGCCGTACCAGAATAAATCACCACCAATTGTAGTTCTTTTTTCTCTTTGTTGTAATACTGAGTTTGAGTTTAAAGGAAGGTAGTGCTTTTACAAGTTTGGGTTTAAAGGTGCTAACTTTTACAAGTTGGAAAAATGGAATTTTTTATGTCCGCTTTGATGAGATTATTTGTATTGTGGGGCTGTTTTCTATTTCATTTTGTTACTCAAGAATGTTACTTGGTTGATTTGTGAACAAATCAGAAAATTTCTCAAAGAAAAATGATGTTGGGTCTAGGGATTTGGAGTTCTTGAAAGAACTTGGTGAATTTGATTGAAGTTTGAGCCTTCCATAGCTAAGCTCAATGTGTCTATTGGGTCTGGGAGAGCAATGGGATTCCTCCACAGAAAACCAAAACTCATATTGGTGAGTATTGATACTACCCTGTCAATTATTGTTCGTGTAGTATGGTGGATGGATTGTTGGTATAATGATATTTCATTATTCTGGTATTTTTTTGTGGATCCATTCCAGGTAATGATGCTTAATGTTGCATTGGCTTTGAAGAAGATTGGGTAGGAAGTTCACGCTGCTCACACTTACAGTCCATGGAGAATGACTTAGGGAGTTAGGGATGCGAACTGGGTTGTACTTTTGATCGAAGGAGAAGACGGCTGTTTAACGGGAGTGTTAGTGGGTGACTGGGTGGCCTATAATCAACGCATAAGTTCAAATCGATGTTTATTTGGTCTACTAAAAACTATAGTGTCCAAGATTCATTAAGAACTTTAGTGTCATTTTTGGCCCTTCTCCCTTTGCAAATCATTGTCCATTTAGAAACAGAGCGGTGCTAGGTGTTGGTGTACACTTTTCGTACACTCATCTATATCAAGCACGCAAAATTATCTGTCCACGTGATCTACATGTGATTTATCCACCACATCACAAGTCAATGTCACCACATGTACATTTTTTTACATTTTTATGTGAATAAATTACTCCCTCCGTTCTTTTTTATTAGTCCTTCTTTTCTTTTTGAGACGTTTTTTTTATTTGTCCTCCTTTCCCTTTAAGGAAAGTTTTTGAGAAAATACCCTCATTTTTATTACTTTTACCCCATTTACTTTTTACAAACTACTTTCTCTTTCCTATTTTACCATCACTTTACTCTTCTTAATACACTCTCTTTCCTACTTTATCATCACTTTACTCTTTTTGATATACCATCTTTCCTACATTATCATTTACCCTACACACTCTATACTTACCCTACTACTTTATTATTAAAACTCGTGCCAAACCCTAAGAGGACTAATAAAAAAGAACGGAGTGAGTATATTTTACATTTTTCGATGGATTTTTCTCTCATAGTCAATAAATAGTTGTTAGATGTTACGGAGTAATACGAAGTATATGTATATAACAAGTAGATGCTTCTCATATACTTCGTATAATCGTTGTTTGTGGCCAATTTAGACCCATAAATCAATGTTATTTGTACGATCAATTTACAGATTTTCTTAGATATTTTTCTACACACAAATACAAATTCTTTATGATCTAATAACACAAATTATTATATTCCATTTATCCAATTAAAATTCATAAAATATAGAAAGTGCAATACGTTAGTATGTAAATGATTTACCATTTATGTAATGAAACGATGGGGGTGAGATCACATACTAACCATTCCTCCCATGCTAACCTACAAACTATCAAAAACGGTGCATCTTTACACTATTTGTACTGCATATTGAAGTTCAAAGTGTTGCATATTATTTGTACTGCATATTAAAGTTCAAAGTTTTGCATATTGTTTTTATTGCATATTGAAATTCACAGTGTGCATCTTTACATTATTTGTACTGCATATTGAAGTTCAATGTGTTGCATATTATTGAGTTAGTAAGTTAGTATTTTAAGCATGGTTAGTATGTGATCTCTAACGATGGCAGTATATGTTATGTATACTTATATTACTATCTAGTTGACTGTTTATTCTATTGCCAAATTAATATCTTCTCACGCTACCTCATCACTCAAGAGCTTTATTTATTTTATAAATAAAAAGCATAATAGAGAACAAAGATATTGACAAAGGTAAATGTCCATTGTCCACTATCAATCTTGTGTTTTTAGATTCAGTTTCTAAATTTTCTTGATATTCTTTAGTTAATTATGTGTTTTGAAAAGCATAAGTTTGCCTCTTGAAGGAATGGTAAAAAATATTATCCCCATTCTTAAATAAATGTGACGGGTTTAATTTTATACTACTCACATTTTCTACTTTGACTACGTTTTATTTATTGATGCATTAATATATATTTTTGAAAAAAAAATTGTTAAATTTGTCTCATTGTAAATTTTCAAAAACTGAGTTCTTTAACTGTTTTACTAATAAAGAATTATATAACCTATCATGTTGATTTTCTTTTACTTTAATTTATATTTTAACTTCTCAGTTCATAACTTTTCTAGCTAGGAGCCACTTTTTGACATTTTCCCCTTAGAACTAACACACTTACACATGTATATGGCATATTAAAAAAGTAATAATTAATAACAAGCAAGCAAGGTACGTACTGAGCATGTCAAAATATTTAAAAATATATATAAAATACAACAAAGTGTGAACGTGCAAGCTTGATATCTAAATAAATGTCACAAGTGACCAGTAGTATATCAGGTTTAAAAGCTTAGATAAATACGTAGTATAAAATGTCACAAGTGACAATTAGTATAACAGGTATAAAGCTTAGATAAATACGTAGTAAAAAAGTTAAAATATCATTCTTATATGAACTTTGAGAGAGATGGAGTAAGCATCTCTATGGCAATATTCTAATTTGAACCATAAATTCAAATTTAGATATTGAGAAACTAAAGTGAAAGACTAATTCGATTGCAAAGCTTGAATTTTTATTATTATTTTTTCGATTTTATTATTAATTAACACATTTCAAAAGCTACAAGGTTATATCCGTCCAAACACACATAAATAGTCATATTGGAGGAATTTAAAAAATGTGGTCATATTTATGCTCTTTGGCCATAATTTTTTGTCATATTTAGGTAATTCAGTACTCAAGTGATTAATTTAAGCAGAAGCTGTCATTTGAAAACACTCTTTTCAACTTTTTTTAAGTCAAAAGTTGAAAAACGCTTTTTTTAAGCAACCCCAAACACTCCTTAAATATGGCGCAGTAGTATAAAAGTTCAAGTATAACAACTAGATGGAACATGAGTAAATGACATAACTTTATTTATATCATGGATTGCAATCATGCATACAAACATGCATATAATTTCATGTATTGCACGCATGCATGAATACACATGACTTATTTTATCGAGGAAATTACCAGATTACGGGAGTATGGCGTCTGACATGTCAAAATACGGGAAAGTGATTTAGGTTACCAAAATACGGGAGTCGGAATCCGTTGTTCCGACTAGAGATTAGGGTTTTATTTTACACGCCCTCCCCCGTCGGAATTGCCACATCCGACTGCAAAAAACACCTTGTGAATTGGGGAATCCGACTAGGGTATTGTGATATTTTTAATTTTTTTTAATGTTTCCAATGGGTGAGGTGTTTAATTGGGGTTCGAGTATTTCACCAAACTCCTACACTAATATCCCTATAAAATCCATTCATTTGTTCTCAAAATTTACAAACACACTCCAAAAACACTTCTTTCTTAAAGTAATATATTCATTATTTTTTTGTAACGGTATACCATCCGGACATATCATATTCACCCAAAAACACTTCTTACTTTAATTACTTTAATATATTCATAATTTTTTTTTGTTTAGCACTCTCCTCTCATATTATATTTATAATATATACCATATATAAAAATGTCTAGTGAGGGTAATATTGTTGTTATGGTTCATTGGAATGGCTCTACATCTCAAAAAGATGATGAAATAGAGTACTCCATACCTCCTAGGGCGGTACTATTCATTAGTGAAGGAGATGATTATACTACTATAGTCGGAACGTGTTCTAAATCATGTTAGAGGCGACGGATTTTCCGAAGTTAAATTAATTTACGGAAAATTGCCAAAATATAAGAATTCGGTATATGTTGCTTCTAGATTATGGCCCATTCACGATGAGCGGACATGGCGTCATTTTTTCCGGATCGCTAGAAATGAGTATGAGGAGTTGCACATTTACGGGAAGCTTCAACGACCCCGCCACAAAATTTGACGTTCCATGGAACTCCCGGAGAGGAAGGCCCATCATCAATATATGGTCGGAGGAACAACTGCCAAACGTTTCAGAACTACGAATCTCC